TTTTTTCTCAGAATTATCCACAACATATATAAATCGACTCAGTTTTTAACGCTGATTCTAAATCTGATATTAGTTTTGAACTAAGTCATAGCTTTCTAACGAAACATCGCCTGAAAAACGTCTCAAAATGCACAAAAACTGCATCCAGAAATCAAATTTCCTAGTTTCTCATGATAATTTTCGTGTTCAGACATTCTAGAATGACTCATGTCGCATGCACTTTTTGCTGTACACATAACTCTCGGATGAAATCCGAAGTTTCCACATTTATTTTCTTATCTAGTTAATATGAAAAATAGTCATTCTGTGCACTCATACGAGGGACAAATTCATGATATAAGCCATTAAATTATTGGCAACTCTGCTCTCTTTCGCTCATGTAGAGAGTTAGCGATAGACAAAAGCAGATATTTTCATTGTAATTATACAAGTTCTACATGAAATCTATTTGAATGATTTCAATGCGATTAGTCGTAAGTGGCGAATGACCTGTCAACAATTTCAGCTATTGTGAAATACTTATATTCGTTATTGATTGTACATCCACATATTAATTTTCTTCTTAATCTTTTAGCCATAGAGTCAGAATAGTAGTGAAACTACTTGTTGAAAAATAACATCAATAAGGAAGGCAGTTGAACATTGTTTTAAAGAGTAAAATCAAAATTTTACAGACCATTGTACCAAAACGCAATGATTACATGTGTGCCTTGCGAATCAATGGGGATCAATCTTGTTCGAAGAAGAAACTGAATTTATTTGGAATGTTCGTTAGTAGCTATGTGATGAAAGAGAGACTCTACAACCAAGGCACTGCTGAATGAATTCTCTAAATCAGAACCTTCTGATGTATGACCGATGATCAATGTCGAGAGGTGTCAAAATCGTGAAAGAAAAGAGTTGATAGTTATGAAAGACGAATAATTACATGATGAATGTTTTCGTTCCTTTCTTTCCTACAATGAATCATTCAAAGAACTGGAAAAAACGACTCAGTGTATGATGAAATTACGCTCCTTGTTTACTCATTATCTAGAAGTTTTCAACATATGGTTTCATTAAACACTCATGCATGAAAATAAAAATAAAAATAAAAGCTCATGAATGGGTTCGAAAGATTTGTTCACAAATAACGATGTACTCTTAACTCTAGTTTGATAATGACAAACATAAAACCAATCGGGAAGTCAAATTTACGAACAAAAGTCAACCATCTATCTTCCGGTTAACAGCCGGATGCGTTTCCACTTACGCCACAAGAGCACGATACTATGATTATCATCAATTCGAATGAATCTTGCGCTATAAGAGCAATAGTTGAGGAGTCGATTTGGCAATTTTTACATGTCAGCCCAGAATAGATTCATATTTGTGAAAATTCTAGATTATGTGTCAATCACTATTTATAATAGTCAAGTATGCTACGATGCAAATAGAATTTATAGACGTGAATGCCTTCAAAGAAACCGATTTGTCTTTGTTAGACTAGTTTGTCGTATTTGGTTTTTCGGTAAAACTTGTGTATTTGTTGATTCTCTCATTTGTGCACATTACCAATAGTATAGCGAAGTATTTAAGAACACTTATCACTCTATAGTAATACTTAATAGATCTAATATTGTGCCAGTAGAATGTTTCATTCATTGATACATAACAGTATTGGAATTTCTTTGACTGATCAGATGAACGATGCATAAGCTACTAATGAAATTTTCAATAATGGACTTCCTTTCAATTATCTACGCACCTATCTTTATTATACACTGAAATAGAAGTAAAAATATTTCTTGTTCTTTTCATTCAATAACATAAAAGCTTTGTATCACTTATCAAAAAGCTCAGTAAATTCGTTGATTGATATCATCATGAATATTATCATTCGTTTTATTTTACTTTTATAATGAAACTTTTTAAGTATATTCGAATGCATTTATTTACTGCAACAATAAAAGAACTATGAAATATTGCCCGGCTTTTCTTTCTGGTTATGAATTAATTTTATACTTTCGTGCATTTTCAATAGTTTTGAACCATGGCGGATAATAATATTCACGTTGTTCACAGCCAGCTTGAGACGCAGTATCGTGGATGACTTCACCACTAGCAAGATAACCTGCCCACCAACCAAATGTTCCACCAGTTATGATTGAATGTTGACAAAGTGATAATGCTATTAGATCGTCACCCTCGTCAAATGATCTTGGTGCTAGAAAAATATTTGCTCGATTACGAAATAGTTTTCTACAGTAGCGTTTATCATCACTAGCAACTATAAAATGAGCATTCGAATAACGTTCTGTATAATATTCAATAGCAGCAAATAAATATTCATCAGACGAAGCAAATTGTAAGGAAACAAAATCTGCACGCCGCACATGAATTCCAATCCATATTGTCCAGTTCAATTGAGCTAATTGGTTTTTAAATAATTGATGATTATCTGATGAAAATTGAGGTATGACGTGAAACTTTTCTTCATAGATATCGATAAATAACTTTGAGACTCTCTCAAGAACTGATGGCCTCGCCACAAAAACACGATTTCGCAGTTCATCACGATATTTATCAAAATTTAAGTACGATTGCCAAAAACCTTGTAATTCAAATATATGTTTCGAAGGTATTGTATTCGGATGTGTCAGTTCAGGAACATATTGACAAGCAATATCTCTGCTAATTTTCTTCATTGGATGAGAAACATTTCTCCATGATCTGTTGAAGATAAACGTAGGTAAAAGAAACGGCTCAAGATGAAAGATAAAGACTTCCCTAATTTCTTCTAATGTTGAAATTAGAAAAAACAAATGACAAGAATGAAGACGTGCCAGAGCATAAGCACTAGCGATAGTAAACATTCGATTACCAAGACGCCCTAAACGAGTACGTACACATACAATACAACGCATTGAAGAAGTTTTTAATGAAATCGTAATTTGCTGTTCAGCATGTACTAATGATGTTTTCGATGTTCCTACTGATTGATTGTGAAAAACGATTTTACGTGGCTTTTGCTTGTATTGAGAATTTAAAAAGGAAATACTTATGAAAAATAATAAACCAAAAAACATGATCCTAAATGTAAATCTCATATATTTATTGATAGATCTGGATCGAACTAACATTTTATTTGAACTAGTTTGATCGACGTCTTTTATTCAACCAACTACTATACGATGTAATATATCTATTGCATTAAAAAAACAAAAAGCAACCGCTTCAAAAAGAATCCTACAGTGTTTTTCGTTCTGCACTGTAAATCAAAAAGCATATATATATCATCTATGATATTATATAATGATATACTACTAGATACTATACTACGCATTTCATATATTTACATTATTAGTTGTTCGTTTTCAGTCACGGCTCATCAAAAAGAGTATGTATGCGCCAATGGAGGTCTATCTAGATTCGTTATTTGTTCTTGTTAGTTACATAAATGCATTGATATCAATGTTTCTATACAAATTAGTGAATGAATCATACATGAAATTTGAGATAGAATTCATAGATCTTCATTAGCAACCGGAACTTAGTAAGAAGTTTCGAATATCAGTTGTCCAATCAACCATATTTTACAATAACTATATTGAAATTCATTGGCAAGCGAACATTATCAAGTAATGACACTATGTTTCTAATGAATATTAGTGATGAATTTCTACTATTTGAATCCATTTTTTAATGCCAGTTACCTTAGGTAAAATTTACAAGAGTTCTGGTTCACTTTCGTTGCTGTTCTTATTTTAATTATCTTCAAAACGAAACAATAGCGTATCAAGATTTCCTGTTATTCAGATGCTTGTTCATAAGATGATGCAACTTAATATGAAATAATCAAAGGCCGATGTAATGCACTCGATTCTACAACCATGTCCCTACACTAAAGGATGCTAGAGCTCTCTTTTCTTTTGAGTTCTGTTTTCAAGAAACCGAACACATTTTGAATTACAATGATAAGCTCATGATGTATTCTACTGGCACTTCTACCGATATTCAAGCAAATATTGTCGGATTTTTCATTGTTGAGATAATAGCAACAGAATATATAAACTATCAATGTACGTCTGTCGAGAAGAACTGATAGATAGAAAAATAAATCATGAGAAACTCTATCACTGGTTGTGTCTCATATGATATTGATTGTCTCAAAAGTAGTATAACTACGTGTCTCACTAACGTCGTTCAGCAAACAATTTTATCATCGATAACTAATATTGATATAATCAAATAACACTGTAGTGTACATTTCTATGGTTTCAAACAGATAAACATAAATCTATATGAAAGAAATACGAAGACCTTATCTCATTTTTTTTCTCTAGATATGAATCGACCTTTAAGTAATTAGGAGAAATGTTTAACAAAATTGCTCAAACATATGGTTGGCAGCAGAGCATTAGCATCAGAGAAATGTTAATACCACAGTATTATCATTAAAAACGTAATGTGATACTTTTGCGTTAAAATTAAAAAGCCAATTTAACACTTTGGTATTATTCAGTATCGAATTTTGTGTTAGAGAAATTCCAAGGCAAATGCATTGATAATACAAAAGTATTAAATTATCATTTTAATTCTAACTCAAAAGTATCGACTCATTTTTTGAATTCCAATATAAAGGCATCCAAGAAAAGCATCAAGTTAAACAGTCAGGATTCTAAATTGTCACCTTTATTCTAAAATATAATGATAAACAAGAGCTATACAATATCATTATTCATTCAACTATTTTAACAAATATCTTCCATAGTTTTTCCATCACAATGTGTAATTGCTATTCTTTTGCGCTCGTACATTTCCCGGTATCATAAACCATGGTGGATAGTAATATTCACGTCGCTCACAGCCAGATGGATATACTTTATCATGAATTACGTGACCATTCGCAAGATAAGCTGTCCACCAGCCAAATGTTCCACCAGTTACGATTGAATGTTCACAGAGTGATAGTGCTATTAAATCTTCACCCATAGAAAATGATTCTGGTGTAAGAAAAAAATTTGCTCGATTATGAAATAGTTTTCTGCAATAGCGTTTATCATCACTTGCAACTATAAAATGAGCATTCGGATAGCGTTTTGTGTAATATTCTATAGCAAAAAATAAATATTCATCAGAAGAAGAAAACTGTAAAGGAACGAAATCTGAGCGACGCACATGAATTCCAATCCATGTTGTCCAGTTCGATTGAGCTAATTGGTTTTTAAATAATTGATGATTGTCCAATGCAAATTTAGGTTTGAAGTGAACTTTTAGTTTGTAGATGTCAACAAATAATTTTGAGACTTTCTGAAGTATAGACTGCGCAGCAGAAAATATACGTTCTCGAATATCATCGTTATATTTCGTAAAATGAAGATACGATTGCCAATAGTGTTTCAATTCAAATATATCTCCTGGAGCAATGGCATTTGGACGTGTCAGCTCAGGAACGTATTGGCAAGTAATACTCCTGCTCTTTTTAGTTATCGATATTGAAGGATTGTGGACGATTGAGTTGAAAGTAGTGGTTGAAATAAGAAGAGGAGAAAGGTCGAAAATAAATACTGATTGCATTTCTGTGATTGTTTCTGGTGTTAAATATAAATGACAAGAATGAAGACGAGCAAGACCATAAGCACTAGCAGCCATAAACATTCGATTACCAAGACGACCGGAGCGCTCTTGAAAGTATACGATACACTGTATGTTTTGGTTATTTATAGTTGTTATTGTAAATGTAGAATTTGAGATTAAAATGTCAGTGACTAATCCATATTTTAGTTTCGTCATATAGAGACCAATAACTATCAGTATCATTATAATAAATAATATTCGAATTGTCTTATTTGGGTGCGTGAGTGAAATATTATATTGATTCATAATTTAGTTTCCTATTTAACTATTTAAATTCATCTAAGCCCAAATGTAACAAGGTGTAATCAATAAGTAGATCAAATATATATATATATAGAGAGAGAGATTATGTTGATTCTTTATTTGATAGTTTCTAACTACAATATGTATGAAAGGTTCAATTTCTAGATTATTTAATGAATTTGTATTTTTGTCTTGATCAATATCTAGAACAAGTGCGTGAACTCTCAATAATGAGCATCGTCGACCAATTGATGTATTCAAAGTTTAACCATTATAACAATACAAGAAAAAGAAAAGAATTCGAATGCTGAATTTTAACTGGAAAAAGTTTTGCAGTCTCACCCAGTGAAAAATTTTAGGGATTAAAATCGATTATAATGTCGAAATCTTCTGGGCATACTCCAAATTGGTAATCGGATTTTTCTGCTACACAATCAAAATTCTAATCGATTCTAATCGATCAAAATTTTGATTTTGTTGCAGAATAATCGGATTGATAATTTTGATTATAATCGATGAAAATCAATTAGAAAAGTATAATAATCAATTCGCACAATTATGATTCATGAATGTTAGCGCTTGTAGGACTCACAAGCGTAAGCTTAGTTATAGATTAAGAAAACGTTTTCAAGGAATATTAATCGGGCAGATCAAATGGTGTCGTTTAGGTAAACTGAATCTCATCAGCGCTGTTACTATGAAATAGAGAAACTTGCAAAATTTATCAGCAGTGCTTTATAAGGAGTTAGTTAACTTTTGAGACAAAGGAAGAAACCATCTGTAAGGATACTTTTCGGACTTGTCCCTAGATTGTATTGACATAGGATGGAGCCACAAATTTCCCATAAGTTCTATTCTTAAAAAATACTATCAGCTCTCCAACATCTACTGTTTCTGATACTTTACTTCTTCGCCACTTAACTATTTAGTTTGAATAAAAAAAGTCGACTTTGAAAGTTTTTCAATGGTATCTAGAAACGGTAGATGTTAGTGCGCTGATAGTATTTTTTAAGAATAGAACTTATGGGAAACTTGTGGCTCCATCCTATGTCTATGTAATCTAGGGACAAGCCCGAAAAGCATTCTTATACATGGCTTCTTCCTTCGACTCAACAGTTAACTAACTCCTTATAAAGCACTGATGATAAATTTTGCAAGTTTCTCTACTTCATAGTAATAATGCTGATGAGATTCAGTTTGCCTAAACGACACCATCTGATCTGTCCGATTCATATTCCTTGAAAGCATTTTCTTAATCTATAACTAAGCTTACGTTTGTGAGCCCTACAAGAGTCATAGGTTTAGTCCATTTACGCAGCTTGAATCTATTTCAATGCATTCTCAAATTATCTAAATCACAGTTATATATATTTCCAGTAAAATGGAGAGAGGACAATAAATAGAGACGTTTTAATATAAAATTTTGACTACGACTTGTTTTTACACGTGATTACTCCTTCCTTTGTACCAAGTGATATTTATTGGAACTCCATTTTAACATACAGTTTACTACAATTTCTTCTCTTATTTCTATCACGACTAGGGGTGGCACTTTATCTTTACTTCACCGGTAAAGTAGAATAGACGCATGAGTTGCCTAATTCGAATTCGATTATAAATGGAGAATGAAGTAATCGTTACCGCTTCAAATATAAGTAAAAAGATCGACCTCATCCATGTTAATCGGAGCAAAAAAAGAAAAAGAAAAAGTTTCATTTATAAATGCAGAATGCATCCATGTTAATTTCAGCTTTGCTTTACCCGAATAGTAAAGTAGTGAAAATTCCAAGTTAATTTTTGATTTTTATCTCGCCGGTATGAATCGATAACTTCGCAAAAAATAAATCGATACTTAAAATCTTGTCTTTATTGTTAATTTGAGAATAAAATTGACAAATCTGTAAAATAGATAGTTTGCATGTACACATAAACTCGAAGTCTATCTAGGTTCTATATGCTAGAGAGAATATGTTTTATCGGTATTTTTGAATAAGGCTGCATTGTGGTGGTGACAAGTGAGTATTAATGAAACTTACTGTGCATTTTCATTGTTGGTCTTCTAAAGTATAAAATATTAAAGTAATATCATAGGCATGAGATTTTCTATGATTTTTAAAAGAGAAGCATCTGAAAAGCTCGATCAATACACTAAATAACTATGCATCAAGAAGTTCTTGAATCTCCTTATGTATTTACTTTAACGTATGAATAGACTTACTGATGTAATACCCTAAGACTGACACTAGTACTTGTATACTCAAAATAATAATAAAGAACTGATTAACTATAGAAATAAAGCATATTTTGTGAGGGAACTTGAAATCGTTCGTGACTTTTAATTTGCTGTAGGAGAATTAAAAATTACCCTACAGAGGAAATTAACAATTTAAGTTGCTCTAGGGCAATTTAAAATTGGTCTAGAATTTTATTTCCCCTTCAACACATACTACGGTTATTATAACGTAACTCGAGTGTCACAATAACAAAGGTATAAGTGAGGATATGTTGAGAATAATTTTGAAAGTCATTCCTTGAGTAAGATAAATTGTTTTTAAATAAAATATGATTTGAACCGTAAAAATGTTTTCTTAAACTTTAACAGACGAGCACTTGCATACGACACACAGTCATTATGTTCTTAATTCACTCTCCCCCGACGACTCCTCGGAGATTTGTCAGGGGACTCCCTGGGGATTCTTCTAGGGAGAGTCGACTAGGGAAAAACGCTCGAAATTTTCTTTTCTGAACATGTAAACATTTAGTCAGCTACTTCTGCTTGAGCATTATTTAAGTGCAGCTTAAATGTGAAGATTCGTATTCTGTGAAAAACAGTTTGATGTTGAAATATCAATATATATGCACAATTTTATTGTATTCAGTTTTATATACGTTCTATATTCCGATATTAATTAAGAAAAGATTTTGAATGATTATTCATATCGCCAAACATTATCAATTGTTGATAGTAACCGAAGAAATTAATCATGAGCTTCCCCTGAACATATGACTTTAATTTACTTTACTTTACTATTCAGGCAAAGAAAATGTACGCTCAGGGTTGTCACCTGATGAAGTCCAAAAAGCGGAAAACTGATGTTAAAAAGCGGAAAATAGCGGAAAGAAAAAAAGAAAAAACGGGAAAAAAGCGGAAGCTTATATTGTTGCAGATTTGTGGTGCTTCTGAAAATATTAAACATTTTTTTCATCTTTATTGGATTTCTTTTTATTTCATCAAAGTTTCAAAACATAAGAGTATGATGACTCACGGTATTTGTGAACAATAAGAATTGATTCAATAATTTCAAATATTATTCTGTACGTAAGTTTGATATGCAACACGTTTTATACGAAAAAGCGGAACAGCAGAAAAACAGCGGAAGAGGTGGCAACCCTGTGTACGTTACTTTATTTCACTTTACTTTTCTAAAGTAAAATAAAGATAAAGAATATATAATACTTGTGTATTTTTTATCGGAGAACTGGAAAAGAAGTATATAAGTCTAATTATATTGTGTATCTTAATTTATTCTTATACTACAACCAACAGTATCAGTAAAAGTTATGAAAAATGACAGAAAGAAAATTCTGGAGAAAAAATTTGGAGAAATTTTACCATCAATGATAGGTCTTCTTTAATATAAACTAATTATAAATTTTATGACACATATAAATGACATTTAGAATATCTACAATGAGTTTTCAAATCAAAAGTTTAGTGCATCACCTGCAGTTCGAACCCAGCTCGAACAGTCCGGCCTCGAAAACGACCGGTTCCGGTTACTTCCGTTGATTTTGTGGAAGCAGTATTCCGGTTGGAAAATTTTCACATTTTCTCCGATGATTTCCGATCAATTCCTGCCGAAAAGCACCGGAACTTGCCAGGAATTCGCCGGAAAAGTCCGACCGTATTTTTGACCGCAATACTGCTTCCATGTTCCAGTGATTTCCCGTGCTTTCCCACAGGATATGGTGACTTTCCCGCATATTTCCTGAAGTATCCTGCGGGATCCGGTAGCCGGAATGTTCGACCTGGGAATGGGAGTCATCTATCATTGAGCTACATACCATTATAGGAAAAGGTTCAAGTTGCAGTCATTACTATTTAGTAAATTCACTTAATATTTAGCGTTTTAAATACAGTTAAGATACACTAAAATCGATTGTTCGAGCAAAATTCAGTCGCAGCTGCAGTAATTAGAAATAATCGATTGATCATCGCTCAATTCGATTTTAAAAGATTGGGATTTTAATGGATTAAAAAGATTTTGATCAGTTGTATGATTAAAATCTGGTTTCGGAAGAGTTAATCACAAACAATCGATTGCTAATCACACAATTCGATTTTTAGAGATTGTAATTTCAATCGAATAATACGATTTCAATCGATTGTAGAATTAAAATCAAGTTCAAGCAAGTTATTTCGAAAGAATCGATTGACAATTTATCAATTTGATTTTCACAGATTGAAATTTCAATCGATTGTTGGATTTTAATCGGATTATATTACGAAAAGAGGTAATTTGATTCGAGAAATCGGATTTACTCAACCATAATCAAAAACAATCACGATTTTGTGAGGGATATTTTTCACTGGGGCAACTCAATAAAAATGTATTCACTGAAGCTAAATTCTAATATTTGAATATTTATAATCTTGTAATCCGATATAATGCAAACAGTTATTGTCATAATGCGATGATAAAAGAGAGATCCATCGAATGATACAATAGAATAATCTCCTAAAACGGATAAATGTATTTTTCGAATAGCTAATGTGGGCGTGTAAAAAGTGATTATAGTTTTATCTAGATCATTCAATTTTACTAGACTGATTTAAAAAATGGCAGCATCAAGCTCCTAGTGCCATACGATACAATACTTGTATGAAAAATTGATCTACTTCTAAGCGCGCCTTTTATTGAAGTTACATATCAATGTAT